TTTTTTTTTTTTTTTGGTATGGGGATTGAACTAGGGTCCTTGTGCTTGCAAGGAAGGCCACCAAACCGCTGAGCTAAACCCCCAGCCCCAGGAACACTTTTTTTTATCACTACTTCACTCACAAGCTCAGTGACCTCAAAGTGCTACAAATACGTGTACTTCTTCCTTTGGGAGATGCCAATATTATATTATCGTCCTCTGAACATATAATCAGCAAGAGCCACAGGAAAAAATTTAAAACCAAGTATCTGTGTGTAAAGACTCAGGTATTTGAAGGGCACATGAGAAACAGCCTGAGTAAAATAACAACCATAAGTTCCTAAGTTTGTGTCTTTCCTATGGGAAATAATTGGGGAAAAGGTGTAACTAGTAAAAATGTTCTATATATGTTTTGCAGAAACAATGTTAAAACCAGCCATTCACCTAATTCCCAAATAATTCATCTACTGAATCTACTTCATGTAACCTGTAGCTATAACTTTGAAATTGATAGGAAGATAGCATGAGTCAAAAGGAAACACATTAACTACAGTAGGAGAAAGGAAACATGTACTCTAATGGAAATATCTACTATCAAAACCATCTCATTATCTGAGAACTCAGTACATCTGTCTTACATCTGTCTTGATATATGTGATAGACAATTTTACATCAGATCACTTGCAAGACAAACTCAAACACAAGTACACAACATTAAATTTTTAAAAACCGTCTAACTCAGGTTCTCTTCTTAGTCCTATGTGCAAGTAATGTGTTTCAGAATCATCTTTTGCCATCATTTCATTCATTTAGAGATATTTTTAAATCACATTAAAAAACATTTGAAGGATATACTTCTATAACATTCTCAATCAATCTCTGCTTCAAACACACAGTTACTTAAGCTACACCTCGTTAACAAAAAAAGTGACACTGTGGGGAGAAAAGATCAAACAGAATGTAAATAACTGGGCTGACGATATGTATGACACATAGCTCCTTTTCATTCCTTGTAAGATTTGTCAGTGCCCATATTCTTAATCTCTAAATAAGACACAAAAGTGACTTACTAACAGATAAAGGCTCCTTTAAATATATACTGAGAAGAAAAATCAATTCACTGTTCCTCATCATTCTGATAAAAGTAAACCTAGTGATATTCATTTATTCATTCAATGCATACTTCTGGAAGGTTTATTATATATCTGGCCTTAAAATACAAAGAACTACACAGTGTCCCTGCTCTCAAAGTTAAAAAGTTATACGTGGAAAACCATAAACAGGCCACCAGAGTGTCACAATCTGTAAGGGTGAGGACTGTCTTCCCAAGCCAAGAAAGCAGAACAGAAAAAGAGCCTTTGGAGGGTTACGGGTGCTTATAATCTCCTCAGACCTTGCAAAATTAAAAAAGAATTTTTATAATGAATTCAGAGAAGGAGGTGAGAAGGTAAGGACAGGTAGGTCTGATCAGAATAAAATGAAAAATCTCCAAACATTTCTAGACATCTCCAAACATTCCCAACCTTTTCTGTAAAGGACCAAAGACCAGGTAGTTCTGGCCTTGCACATCACACAGGCTGCTACAACTTTTAGCTCTGCTGGGCTGTATGTAACAACAGATTCCAGTCTGTCTTATTCTGGGAGTTGGAGATCTGTGCCCATAAAATAACCTTGAATTATTCCACACGGTGTTCCTAGTCCGAATTCCTCGTGAGGAGAAAGCACCAGCTCAAGCACAGCTCTAAGTACTCAGAAGACATCTGCAGCAGCTCTCTGGCCCTTTATATTAAATGTAAGCAGAGTAAAAAAATCACTGAGTGCATGAGGAAGACTCAGTGTGTGAGAGTGAAAACAGAAGCTGAAACAGTGGAAAGAGTAATTCGAGCTAAAGAAGAAATATAATAATTACATAAAACAGAAGCATACATAACAGGAGAGTATAAAAACAATATTAAAAAGCTCTCAAAGATTAAAAATATGATTTTTAAAATAAAAATTAAAGAAATGGTATCTGAAATATAGCTATTCTGAAAACAATTTGTATGATTACTTGCATTCATAAAAACACAAAGGAAACTACCATTTGCATTACCTGCTATGCAATCAAGAATTTACTTAAGCACTACTGTTTTACAGTTTAATTAGGAAAATACAGAATAGAATAAATGGCCTTTCAAAGTCTGCTCCCTGGACCAACTGTATAAACATGACCAGTGCTAGTGAAGAGCACTCTCAGGTTACACCTCAGACCTCCCTAGTCAGATGCTTTGGGTTGGGGCCCAGCAATCTGTGTTTTAACAAGCTCTGTAGGTAATTCTGATGCACACTAAAATTTCAGCATCAATGGACTATATCATCCTAAGAAATGGATTAAGCATGGCCTTTCTTCCTTATTGTCATTTGGTTTTCAAGACCAACAGTTTTCCTCCTAATTTTCTCCCGCCTCTCTAGCACTCATTTAGGACCCCCTTCACTGGCTTTTTTTGCCACCTGCCTGTCCAGCAGATCCATATCCACTACTGTTTCCCAGGTTTCCTTTGTATTTTTACTCGTACATGTTTGTAACACATTATAATTACGTTTATCTGGTGGAACAAGGATGAAGAATTACACGTCTTAATCTTCTTTACTACCTCTTCCCCTCCCTGCCCTCCCTTCCCCACAGCCCAGGCTCCCTCTGGGCTCAGATGTTTTGTGCACTATGGGGGTAGAAGAGTGGCAGAGCCTCCATCTGATATTCTATACATTCAAAGGGTTAAAAGCCACTGCCAAACTAAGCTCATCTACAACATGGATTTTACTAAATTTTATACCAGTGATTTAAATTTTGTATTCTGAAAATGTTTTTCTCCTGACCTCCATATCCAACTGCAATATATGACTGCCTTACCATACTGCTACTTAAATGTCTTCTGAGCTACTTCTACACAGCAAAATCCTAATCATCAGCAGCTCTCCAGACCTGGTCTTACTCTCTTTCTCCCCTTTTCAGCAGTGGCATTACCACTGCATCATCACACAAACCTAAAAACTGAAAGTGATGCCTCATAGCTAATTCAATAATCCCATCCTGTATTTCTAAAAGTCCTCAAACCCGCCATCTCTCTATTACAATGTCCACTGCTTTAGGTAGGCTAAATTTGTCATCATTTCTGGGAAACTTCAATGCCATGCCTTCCAGTCTGACCTTGCCTGGTTTTGGCTTACCCCAAGCAGATCCATTATTCACAGGACAGCAAACTCAGCTGATGAGTTCTCTGAATGCTTTCTGTCTTGCACAATTTGTTCTTTCCATCTAGAATGCCTTTACCAATTTCTTCATCTATGAGAACCTGTTCACTTTTCACAGTCAACAAGGGTGCCAGCCCCTCCACAGTGAGTCACCCCTTTCACTGCTACCCCCAAAAGAAAGTTAATCATTCTTTCTCCCTGTGTCTTTCCTGCTTATTTATGTTTACAACAGCACACTATACATTTTTTTTCCTTTGGTACATTATTTCCTAGGCTAGACTCCAAAGTATAAAAATTGGAACAAAGAGGACACTCAGGGAAAGAAAACAAAATTAAAACACGTGATTTTCTTATAGAACAATGTGCAATAGATACAAATAAGCAGTTCCCTAATAAGTAGACATCTATTTTAAGCATATGAAAGATCTGAAACTTAATCACTATTACACACCTATTTGAATGAGATGCCATTTTAACCTATTAGATTGTTAAGCATCCAAAGCTATACAATTTGAACTGCTGCTGACTCTCAAACGTTGGCGGCCAATAGGCAAACTAACAGACCAGCTTCAGTAGGCTCTTTTAGCAAGCTGCCAAATTGGGGGTGTCCAACAAAACTGAAAATGTATCTAGTCTTTGCACTAGTCTCAAGAAGCATTTATAGAGAGTAATATTACCAGAAACTGTGATTTCAAGGACATCTGCTATGGCATTGTTTGTAATATCAGCCTGAAACCACTAATATGCTCAAAACTAGAGGACTTGTGAAATGACTGTGATACCTCCATACAAAAACATGAAAAAGAAAGAGATGTGTATACATTATAATATGTAGTATCTTAAATTACTTATATATTTGAGATATTTGAAGTAAAAAAGAAGCCAGGTGAACAGTATATACAGTGTTATCCAATTTTTGAAACAACAATAATGATAATAAAAAACCAAGAGAGAAGAAATATATTTGTAAAAGTATACTCATATTCCAAAAGAAAACAGCATCAAATGAGTAGCATTCTCTAAGCAAGGAGATCTGGAGCTCAGAAGCTCTGTTTATACTTTAAGGTATTTTAACTTTTAACCATTTCCATATATTATCTTTCAATTTAAAAAACTCAGTGACAAAATAATGTTAATGCCCATAAATAAGAAAGTGCGAAAGTAACAGTGGTTACTTCCCTCCCAGTTCTGTATTCCCTACACCACATAAGCTGTATCTCAGCCACATCATGCCTTAATCTCCCTCAGATGAATATATTCAAGTTGCATTTAAGTACTGATGCTAGTGAGCACTTTTTCCCAGCTACCAAAGCAAAGATTTTGTTGTTGGAAGAACTGTAGCTATTAAAAGCAAGGGCTTTGGCAACCTATCCCCTGCCTCTCCAACCTGTCACAAGTGTTCAAGTGGCAGGTGCCTCCAAAGAGAGACCTCGAATACCAAAGCTATTTCCATGAGATACACTTCTCTACCTCTGTCTACCAGAATTCATCAGGCTGATGAGATTTCTTTTGTAAGCAAGCTAGAGTTCTGATTACCCCTCTGCATATGTGAAAATCTCCCTGCGTCTTCCTAAGGGATTCAGGTACCATGTAAGGCTGGGATGCCACTGATGCTCTTGTTTAATATCTCCTAATTATCTGTTCAGTAAACACTACTTGAAAAGTACATTCTGAATATGCCTTTAATGTCTTAAGATATATTTTTCCAGCCTCTCAGTAAATGGTTCCTTTGCCCCGCCCCAGGCACCCAGAATTAACCCACCTTAGTCACACAAGTACACTCCTCCCTTTGACAGAAGAGGAATTAGCTTTGTCAGTTGGGAAGAGCAGGATATGGGATAGGGCAGTTACTAGGTAGAGACCCCTGTGTGAGTGGTTCCCTTCAAATTCTATGTTACAAATACATACAAATCAAAGATGACATTCCAATGAAACAGAAATGGACAGGCATAACTGGTGGGGAGAGAATAAGATGCAATGGCAGCACCTTATGCCAGCACTAAATAAGAAGACAGAAAAAGTTAAGTTACCATACTCAGCACTGTTTCCTAATTCTGACTTCACTAAAATGATACGATGGTAGAGAGGGCTGAGATTACAATGCTGAGATTACAGTGCTCGGGTACTCTTCTCTGAGTGAGGTTTTATTCAGGATTGTGCACTACTTTATGGGGTAAATACACCAAAGGGCCATTAGAATGCGGCTTTTCTCAGTTTTAGGAGTCTGTTTAAAATGTGTATTATTATTATTATTATTATTATTATTATTATTATTATTATTATTATTTTACTGTTATTGTTATTTATTGCTGTGTTGGGGGCTGAAACCAGGACCTAGCGCATGCCAGGCAATGAGCTATAACCTTCACCAGGAACATTGTCTCACACTGTAATCTCAGCACTCTGGAAGGCTGAGATAGGAGGACTGCAAGTACACACCTAGCCTCTGTCACTCAGTGACTTAGTGAGACCTGGGATCAAAAAAAAAAAAAAAAAAAAAAAAAAAAAAAAC